TGATGCAACTTCTTCAGGACCCTATCAGTCCTCTAGGAAACACATTTGGGATTCAGCCTGGAGGCTGCAGGGGTTGACTCCCTCTCCTGGACAGGGTCTGGTCTGGGCACGGGGTTCTAGTGGGAGCTGAGTGTGGTGGCTTGTGCTAAATCAGCTCTGAGGGGTCTCAGGGGATTCCTGAGAGCTGAGGGGCAGAGGCAACAGCTCCTTGCAGACTGGATATTTGTACACAGGGACCTTTTGGGGCTGTATTTTCTCTGCCAAGCCAGTCCTCATCGCCTCCTTATTTACTTACTGCTATGGCCTGAGTGCTCTCACAGTGGGCTTATCCTATTTGATACATATTTTTCCATTAAAAATTCCATTGTTAGAAATGTAACGTCTAAGGGGACCAACATCCCCTGAGACCCCTCAGAGCTGATGGAACACTCAGCTCCCACTAGAACCCCGTGCCCAGACCAGACCCGGTCCAGGAGAGGGACCCAACCCCTGCAGCCTCCATAACACACAATTTAAAAATTATCCTTGGGGACCTCCATGGTAGTCCAGTGGCTAAGATTCTGCATTCTCAATGGGGAGGGGGGCCAGGTTCGATCCTTAGTCAGGGAACCAGATCCCACATGCTGCAACTAAGACCTGGCACAGCCAAATAAGCATAAATTAAAAAAAAAAAAATGGTCCTGCAAACTTTATAACATAGGGCAACAATCCCCTACCCCCACTTCCAAGTCCCTCTCTTGGTAACTCTTAGAGCTCTTAGCCATCTCTGCTGGTGTTTACCTTTGTACTGAAATCTCCTGCTGATTATATTTCTTGATCTTTCAGTTTTGTATATGTCATGATACAAACTACCATGATATTATTTTCAGTCTAACACAGGGATGCTTCCTATCCTGTTTGTACATCCTTGTGTACCTTATCTGTCCTCATGTTCCAGTCAGGGCACTAGCCCCTGACCGCAGCTGTTGCCAGTATCCTGGGGACTCTCTTTGCCCCTCTGCTGTGTCAGCTCCAGTTTCCTGCGTCTCCATATCCTCTTTCCTGGATTTTCTCCCTTGTTTGGTTGGAGCACATCCTGTAGTAGCTGCCTGAGAAAGAATGTATGGTAGGTAAATTTAAAAAAAAAAGGATCGTCACAAGTCTGAAAATATTTTCATTCTACTGTCATTGAGATTTGGGTGGATATAAATCCAGATTAGAAATCAATTCCTGCCAGAATTCAGAAGATACTTCTTCACTGTGTTCTGGCTTCAAAATCTGATTTGAAAATTTCAAAGCCATTGTAATCCCTGGCTCTTGATATATGACCTGTTAATTTTTTTTTTTTCTTTTTGGAAGGTTTTAGGATTTTTTTCCTTTAGGATTTTTTTCCCCTGGTGTCCTGAAATTTCATGATAAGGCTTGCTCTAGGGGGGCTTGCCCAGCGGTCCAGTGGTTAAGACTGTGTTCCAATGCAGGGGGCACAGGTTCAATCCCTGGTCAGGGAACTAAGAACCCACACATACTGCATGGTGCAGCCAAAAAAAGAAAAAAAGGCTTGCTAGAGTTCCTTAAAGTTGTTTTTTTCTTTTGCCACTCCTCGCCACATGCAGGATCTTAGTTCCTCAATCAGAGAATGAATCTGCACCTCCTGTAGTGATAGCATGGTGTTCTAACCACTGGACTTCTAGGGAATTCCCATGTTTCCTACATTTTTTATACGGAAAGACTTCAGACATATATAAATAACACAAATATAACATATAATGAAATATTATAAATACTACAAACCCATCAATCTACCACTGAGATGAAGGAAACATTACCAGTAAAGTTGAAACCACTCGTTATGCCTCTTCCTCTCAAGATGTATCTTGAAATCTGTTGTTTATCCTTCCTATGCGTTTATTCTTCCACTGCATAAAATGTATGTTAATACATAACATTTTTGCATGTTTTAAAATCTCCACAGAGATGGTGTCATAATGTATTTATTTTTTTCTGCCATCTGTTTCTTTCCTCAGCATTGTTTGTGAGACTCCTCTCTACTGAGCGGGGCATGTTTGACTCTATCACAATTTATGGATCTTTTCTTCTGTGGATGGTATTGAGGTTGTTCCCAGTTTTTATCTAGTAAAAAGGTACTGCTCTAAACATCCCATGGACATCTTTTGGAATTCAGAGAGAAGAGTTTTGCTATAGGGCAATGATTCTCAGTTCTGCAGGCACACAGAGTCATCAGGGAATCTTTACAAAATCCTGATATCAAGGCTGGGCCCCAAATTGATTAGACCAGAATCTCTGGGGGTGTGTCAAGCTTATCAGGTGACTCTAATGAGCTGCCAGTGGTGACCACCACTGCCCTGGACCACACAGTGGTCCTCTAGCCAGCAGCATCGGCATCATAACAGAACTTGATGGACAAGCATGCTCAGCCCCTGACCCAGACCTGGTGGGTGAGAATCTGTTTTAGCAAGACTTCTGGTCACTGCACTGCAGGCCAGGAGCATCTTCATCTACAGGTATTGCCACATGGCAGCTCACGAGGGTGGCGACTGGCCACACGGCTGTGGTTTTAAGTCACTGTGCCCAGCACTTGGCAGGTTCTTGCTCTATGGAAGTTCTTTTTCTTCGGTTCTGGGAAATATTCTTGTATCCTTTCTTCCACAATTTTCTCTCCTCCCTTCTCTGTTTCTAGGCTTGCAATTCTTATCAGTTGGAAATTAGACCTTCTGCATGGATCTGATCTTTTGGTTGTCCAACTGTCTTGGATTTTTCTCCCTATTTTAACATCTCTTTGTTTCAGTGTTTTACTGTCTAGAAGGTTTTCTCCCATATTTCCATCCCTTATAATGCGTTTAAAAATTTATGCTATATATATATTTTTAATATTCAAGAGCTTTAACACTTCCTTTTAAAAAATGACACTTTCTTCCTGTCTCATGGACAAATACCTTCAGAGGAATGTCCTCTGACCCCTTTCTTCTGTATATTGGAGTCTCTGTATCTTTGGCTGTTGGTTTTAGTCAATTGCTGGTGCCCCCGGCTGTTGTCCCTAAGACTGCACCACAGGAAAGCTAACAGGAAGCCCTGTGCACGTGGGCAGGGCTTGGGAATTCGGGCCCCACAGTAGCACCTGGGTAGAGACCGGGGAATTGTCAATTTCAGGATCTGTCGATCTTTTCTCTTTACTTGGTTTCCCAGAGAGAAATTCAATAATGTCCTGTCTTGGGGGTGGCTGGATGAGGAACAGGCCCAGCTGTTGGCCAAGGAAGGGGGCTGATGGTCTCCCCATTAACTATTGCCTCACCCCAGCCTTTGGCTGGGCTTAGGGTTCCCGAGCCAGAATCCTTCTAGCTCAGCCTTGGCCAGCTGCAAACCATCTTCTACCAGGGTCAGAGAAGGGTGGTCACATGCCATCTGGGCTTGGGTCTAACCACTTTTTCCAATTGATACTATTTTCATATCCATCCTGAACTTCTGCTTTAGGAACACCTGGTCCCTCCATGTTCGAAGCATTTGGAGGATTCTGCAGAGCCAACTGGCTTGTTATTAGTTGGCTTTCTCCCTTGTAGACATTTCAGAGGGTGGGAGAAGCTGACACTAAACAAGTTTTACTCTTCCATCTTCCAAAGTTTTAGACCTCTCTTACGTACTGCTGCCGCCTTTGTTGTTGTTCAGTCGCTAAGTCACGTCCAACTCTTTGCAACCCCACATACTGGAGCATGCCAGGCTTCCCTGTCCTTCACCATATCCTGTCACTTGCTCTAACTCATGTCCATTGAGTCAGTGATGCCATCCAACCATCTCATTCTCTGCCGCTCCCTTCTCCTCCTGCCCTCAATCTTTCCCAGCATCAGGAGGCCAAAGGATTGGAGCTTCAGCATCAGCATCAGCCCTTCCAATGAATATTCGGGGTTGATTTCCTTTAGGATTGACTGGTTTGATCTCTTTGCTGTCCAAGGGACTTTCAAGAGTCTTCTCCAGCACCACAGTTTGAAAACATCAATTCTTCAGTGCTCAGTCTTCTTTATGATACAACTCTCACATCTGTACATGATTACTGGAAAAACCACAGCTTTGACTAAATGGCCTTTTGTCGGCAAAGTGACGTTTCTGCTTTTTAATATGCTGTCTAGGTTTGTTAGAGCTTTCCTTCCAAGGAGTGTCTTTTAATTTTGTGGCTGCAGTCACTGTCCATAGTGATTTTGGAGCCCTAGAAAATAAAATCTGTCACTGTCTCTACTCTTTCCCCTTCTCTTTGCCATGAAGTGATAGGACTAGATGCCATGATCTTAGTTTATTGAATGTTGAGTTGCAAGCCAGCCTTTTCACTCTCCTCTTTCACCCTCATCAAGAGGCTCTTTAATTCCTCTTCACTTTCTGCCATTAGAGTGATATAATCTGCATATCTGAGGTTGTTGATATTTCTCCCAGCAATCTTGATTCCAGCTTGTGATTCATCCAGCCCGTATTTCACATAATGTACTGCATATAAGTTAAACAAACAGGATGACAATATACAGCCTGGACATACCCCTTTCCTGATTTTGAACCAGTCTGTTGTTCCATGTCTGATTCTAACCATTGCTTCTTGACCTGCATACAGGTTTCTCAGGAGACAGGTAAAGCCGTTTTTGTAGTTCATGCCATTTTCATTCCTTTAGGTCATTTTGGTGGGGTTCAAGAGGCAGAGAACATACAAATGTGTTCAGTCCACTGTGTTTAACTAAAAGTCCTTGTCCATTTTACAAACAATTTTTATACATGTATGTATAAGTTAATATAACTCATTTTGATTATTTATGCATATACTTAACTTTTTATTTTTACATCAATGACCTTGTTTTTCAACATTAGGTTTGTGAGCCCTTCTAACCCATGCAGATCTAGCTTATTCCTTTTACTGCAGCTTAGCAAGTGTTCCAGCAACCGCTGTACCACATTTTTTTTCCATCCATTTCTCTACTTATGCATCTTAGACACACAAGTGATTGTGGCCTTTTGATCAACACAGTGGCTCAATGCAAATTCTAATATTTATTGTTTTTATTCTGAAGCATAACTTGTCACAGGGAAACAGGACTTTTTTTTTTTAAACTGTCTGCCAGCGACAAGGGCAAAAGAGCTAATAGTGGGGGTCTGAGAGACTGGAGAGGAAGGCCCTTCAAGGACCAGGCACGGACCAGGCACGGGGCAGGCAGGAAGGATGGGAGGGTGTGGGCAGCACACACACACACGGGCACGTTCTCTCTCCTATAGGAAGAGTTTTCCAGAAGCATTGGCCTGCACTATGAATTAAGTGTTTTTCTGCCAAATTGAGCCTACTGAAGAGGAGTGAATTAATGGCTTAGGGAGCTTCGCGCCCCAGCAGGGAACTCAACTGAAGGCTGCTCCTCAGTGAACGAATTCAGTGTTCCCCAGAACACTTTCCAGCTCCACCAACCCCCAGGGAGGGCTTCCAAGAGACTCAACAGAGAACCAAGTTCAAGAGCAGCTCCTGGGCCAGGAGGGAGGTGACTGTATCCACGTCTGGGGGCTGGAGCAAGAGGAGAAGGGTGGTGGACCTCTCCTCCCACCTCCACTGGCCTCCTCTCTAGGGGCCACGCTCCTCAGTGAAGGGTCACCCTCAGGATGATGTCTTCTTCCATGAATACAAATACGGAGAAAGCCCCACCTCTGAAACAGCAGTGCACATGGGAAGGCCCTACGGGTGGGTCTGAAGGCCCTTCCAGTCCAACCAAGATGAGAGCAAACTTAAAATGAACACACGAGTAGGCTGGGAAGTGGGGAGGGCAATAAATAAAGGTCAGGGCGGAGTGGGGTGGCTGGGCTCCTAGGAAAGAAGGGGTGCAGAAAGGCACTGGGTGCAGGGGAGCAGACTCAGCCCCCCAAACACTGGTTTGTTGGGTTAGAGGTCACGTCCGACAGGGCTGGCGGCCAAGGGCTCCTGGTCTGGTCAGGAAGGAACCAGGAGGGGTCTGACTCCAGCTGTCTCTCCCCGTCTCTCTCAAGCTCTTCCACTGGAAAGTCTGCCCCATGCACCAAGCGCACCTCTGTCCAGGGAAGGTGGAAGGGACCGTCGGAGGCCATGTCAGCAGTGGGGGCTGGCCCAGGTGAGCCTTTTACCTTTGAGAGAAAGAGAAGAAAGGCCACAATAGAGTGAGCAGAAGCAAAGTCCCACCCCAGGGACAGTGTGAACTTTGGGAATGAAATGCAGGGAAGGTGGACTCCTTGCTGGAGAGGCCTGCACCTGAAGCAGCCACCCCATCTGAAACTAAGTGGGGGAGCGCTGGGGAGGGCTGGGGGCTGAGCCCTGGGCCCAGCCCTGCTCGACTGCGCCAAGTTACTGCAGGCAAGTTGCCTACTCCCTATGCTCCAGTGTGGCCATCTACACCGGGCTAATTGACACAGGTGATCCTGGGATGCTGGCAGGAGCAAATGGACATGAGAGGGACCTCTGGTTGTCCAGTGGTTAAGACTTTGCCTTCCAAAGCAGGAGGTGCAGGTTCGATCCTTGATTGGGGAGTTAAGATCTCACCTGCCTTATGGCCAAAAACCAAAACCAAAACCAAAACATAAACAACAGAAGCAATATTGTAACAAGTTCAATAAAGACTTTAAAAATGGTCCATATTAAAAAAAAAAAACTTAAGAAATAAATATTAAAAAAAATGGATGTCAGAATGGAAAACCTTCCAGGCCAGTCCTGTCCAAGTAAACCTTAAGCCCTGGAACCCTGTCTATGTGCTGGGCCACCCGGCACATAGATCATCGGGGGGCCACTGGACATGTCCTGAAGACCTATGCAGGTCTACCTATGCAGGTGGGTACCCCATGTGGACCCTGGAGCTTACCCTCCCCGCAACCCGGGAGGGACACAACGTGGTCCCCACTTCTAGTGATAATGCAACTGGGTACCGAGAGATCAAATATTAGATTGAACCCTATGCAACTGCCAATATTTAACTATTTTTGATCTACAAAAATGCAGTTGTGTGTGGTTTGACCTGAGAGTTTGCCCAGATTCCCATAGGTGTGGATGGCAGAGCTGGGGCTAGAGCTCGGGCCTGCTAGATTCCAAACTGCCCTCTGTGGGGGACTACTGGAGGCGAGGGCGATGGGACAGGACCCAAACCATGACCGCGACGCCTCCCTCCCTGAGACCTGCCCGCCCCACTCCCCCATGTCACAGTCTGCCTGTCATGCTCACAATGAGGGAGAATGTGGGAAGGAGGGGGGTGAAGGAGGAGTGGATGAGGGCTCCCATGGGGTTTCCTGGTGGGTGACCCCACACCACCAGGCTCCCACAGCCGTCCCCGTGAGCAGCAGGGGCATCAGCTGCTGTGTTGACCTACACAGCGTGTGCCTGTGGATCTTGTGGCTGTGGAGGCACTCAGGCCAGCTGGGGCTTCTTTCTGGAAGGAGACCAGGGGCCGATCCTGCACCTGCACACTTTTCTCCCACTTGAGAGCGAGGACCACCTTGTCCCCCGACTGCCTGATGGTCCCAGGCTAGCCGGGGCAGGTGGGAGCTTGGATTCTTGCCCTTGGCTCCCACACCCATCAAATGGGGATAATAAGCCCCCTGACTTCTTGGCCAAGAGAATGAAAGTTGCCTGTGGATGTGCAGGGTGGGCCGGGCTCCACAGGTCCCAATATCCCCCCTCTTAGGATATGGTACTGCTCTGGCCTGGGCTCTGTTTGTGGCGAGCAGATTCGGCTTCTTCAGCTATGTGGTAAATTTTTGAGGTCTCAGACTGTCCCCCATCACACCCAGCCCAGGCTGGGCACACCCTATGGTGGACAGTAGGTGTTCTCAGGGTGGAGTTACTGTGACTTTTATGGGGATGGTGAAATACTTGGAAAGATTACATTTTATAAAACTGAAGATGCTAACCACCACTGAGAACAGATAGAGATGGTCGGCCTTGAGGACTGGGTCCCTCCCTTTGCTCACTGTGGGCGGGGATGGGTCTGGCTTGCCTGGGCTCCCCCAGCACCTGGCACAGCGCTCAGCTAACGTAGAGAATTGAAAACATCCCCAGCCCTCTCCAGTGTTGGAGCACAGATGAGGACCAGGCAGGCTATGGGGAGTGGAGCAGGCCGCAGGGGTGGGGGCAGACGGAGAGGAGGAGGGCGGCTTGGCAGATGGCTTGGTACTCACCGGGGCCGTTTGGGTCCGGCCAGGGTGCGGGGCCCCCACTGTGGGTCAGCAGAGCCTGTCCCGGTCTCACTGGCCAGGCTGCTCTGGCTCCCCGAGAGGCAGCTGGCTGGGCGGGTGGGCCCCATCTTCAGTGACTCCACGCTGCCACCTGCAAGAAGACCCCGTGATTGGCTCCGGGTTGGGCACTTTAGACCTTGAACCGAGACAGGGAGGAACTCAGCCTGGACAAGGGAGCTGATTTAAAGTCTCCTCATTTGGAATTGCGACCTATATCCATGGGACTGTCTGCCAGAGCCCCTCCCCCTGAGAACAGCCACCCCCTCCTCCCCTATTCACATGGTTGCCATGGTCTAGTGGGACCCCCACCCTTTGGCCGCTGCTGACTGGCCCACAATCTTACAGAGACAACCGAATGGGCCCTTCGGTCATTTAACTAAGGAACGAGTAGTTACCCACATGAAAATGGACAGTGCCCTTGGAGAAGGAGCATGTAGTGGGGGCAGTGTGTGTATATCTGTTAACACAACAAGAGGGACATTCATTGCTGCCTTTAGTAACTAAGGAATCCTCATTCAGACAGTTGTTAGTCCCCACCTGCTGAGAGAGCAGAGATGTGTCTGCAAGACTCCACTCTCTTTCTGTCTCCTGGACCTGCTTGGTCAAAGCTGAGAGTTGGTATGAAGAGAAAGGGTGAAGGCTATGGTGGTGAGGGGAGGGACAGAAATATACAGCCTGCCCCAGAAACCAAGGCTGGCAGGTGAGTTTGCTCCACACTTTCCTAAGAGAATCTTCAGCTTAACAGGGACTATGAGGTCATCTGGTCCAGGGACAGTTTAAAACCCTGCATCATCCCTGCCTACTGACACTGATCACTTGGAAAACTGCATGGAGGAAGATTCTACGGCCCATGTCAGGCTCTGTGGGAGAGAGTATCATGATCAACTAGTAATGTCTGCCATGGGCACAGGAGTGGAAGTAAAAGTATGTGTGCCAGGCATTTGGCATCTCTTATCAAGCGCAGACAGCCACCACTGCAGGAATGCCTTCCATGTCAGTTCTGGCAGGAGATCACCCAGCTTTCCATTTCTTTCAGCTTGAGGCAGTTATTGAGACACTTTCTTCTTACGTACTAAAAATCAGCCTCCTGAAACATCTTGCAAATATCCCAGTTCTAACCTCTGGAGTAACTGTGAATGAAGCTGGTCCTTTTCCTGGGAAGGCCCTTCATGTGTGGAAAGGAAAACGTGCTCCCAGGCCTTCTCCACATGTACACCTGAACTTCCCTTCCACCTGTTCGTGGTGGTTTTTTATTTTTGGCTGCTCTATGCAGCTTGCGGGATCTCAGTTCCCCGACCAGGGACTGAACCCACCACAGTGAAAGCCCAGAATCCTAACCACTAGGCCACCAGGAACTCCCTTTTCCATCTCTTCTTGAGTGGTGCCAACCCTGTAGCGCCCAGTCATCCCAGCCAAAGGCCCACTTTGCCTCCTGGCTCTAGAGCTGTTTCACCAAGCCCCACCGCGGAGCTGCTGGGGAGCAGAGGCCACAGGAGGAGGAGAGCCACCACCCTTGGGCGCTGCTCCCTGCACTTCCTGCCAGCTAAGTCAGTCACTTACCTGACTCCCCCCAGGGTCTGTTGCCTTTCGGGCCCCTGACCCCAGCAGGCGGGAGTCTGTCATCCAGGCTGGAGGAGCTGAGGTCAGAGTCGCTGTCACTGTCGCTGGAAACCACTGGAAAAGAGGCACCAGCCCAGGAAGTCAGCCCCACTGGCCGCTGCCAGCAGGTGCGTCCGACAGAGGGGACCAGGGCAGGCCTCCTCCTGCTGAGACAAGATGGCATAGGACCTCCGCTGGCCCTGCTGTTTGGGGCACGGGGATGGCAGGGGGCTCCTTTCTGCCAGGCGGAGAGGTGAGTACCGGGGCAGCCCATCTCCACAGGTCAGCCCCTCCCTGGGGCTGGATCAGAAGCCTCTCGCTGGGAGGAGCCGATTATCCACTTTGGTGCAGGCCCAACCACTCTGAAGCGTGCACTTGGCAATGCTTAAAGGCATCCAGTGATGCCTTGCAGGAATAATTCCAGTCCTTGCTGACCTGACAGAGGGCTCCAGGCCCCTGACATACACTAACTAGCAGAAGCTTCAGAACAACTCTGCAAGATAGGAAATAGCATTGTCCCCATTTCCCAGGCAAGGAAACTGAGGCCCTTGACCACAATGGGACGCTTACTCTGGTGGGCTGGCTCCACAGACTGTGTTTATAACCACTCTGATTCCACTGGGAGAACTGAACTCAGAGCCAGCAGGTCTGGGCTCTCATCCCAGCTCATCCAGCAACTCCCAGTGGGGTCTTGTGAATGCAGAAGGGAGCCAGGCTGGTGGGGCTGGAATCCCGGGAGAAGGGAGGGGAGGGGGACCTCCCACGGTGAACACCCACTGTGGTAGAAACCCTCTTTTCTGGACTAAATGGGACCATATTTGGCTGGTTAGTCAACAGTGGGAGTCATAATACAGGATCTATTCATACATTAAACACTCTATTTTCATTTTAAGCATATAAATGTACATCCATTTGCCAATCTTTTGATGTTAGGGCTTGGGTGCTTCTTTGAGATCAGCCCACATGGTCTTTCATGTCTAAGCTGCATCTATATTGCATTGCCTGTGATTCGCAGATTCCTTTTCTTTAAACTGAAGCTGAGCTTAAGTGGTTCCAATGGTAAAGAATCTGCCTGTAATGTAATCCCTAGGTCAGGAAGATCCCCTGGAGAAGGGAATGCAACCCACTCCAGTATTCTTGCCTGGAGAATCCCATGGACAGAGGAGCCTGGCGGGCTACAGTCCATGGGGTCGCAAAGAGTCAGACACGACTGAGTGACTGACACTTTCACTTTAAAGACACAGCAAAGCAAGAGCCCAAACTTCCACCCTCCTCTACTTCTTCAGCCTCATCCCCCACAACTGCACAACCAACTCTCCTACCTGAGGCTCCTCTGACCCCAGGCCACCTGGAGCTCCTGCCAAACTGTCAGCAGCTCCTGCAGGGACTGGCTTTCCTCTCTCCAGAATTCCCTGCCCACTCCTCTCCTCCTGGCTTAGTTTGGGTACCACCTCCTCCAGGAAGCCCTCTATGGTCTCCATCTGGTTGGCTGAACACACTGTGTATTCTGCTACACCTGCAGCAATCACTTTCTGCTTTAAGTGTTGTGTGTGTGTTTTCCCCCAGCAGACCTGGAGGCTCCTGAAGGCAGGGGCCAAATCACACCATGACTGAGCCTGGCGTGCTTCTCCCACAGACCTGATCCTGGGGGTGAGGCAAGAGGGATGCTATCGGATTGTTTCCAGCTTTGCCTTCCTCTGTCTGCTTAAGGATTTTGCTCTTTCTGCTGTGTTTCTTTCTCTCCTCGCCCTCAAGGCAGAATTCTGCTTTGGCTTTTTGGGCTTTCCAGATAGAGAATCAAAAGGAAATGGAGACTGGAGGGGTTGGGATCCACACACCCGCCCCGTTTGTTGTATTTGAGAAATGTAAGGAAAAGCCTGACTTATTTTGCAATTGCTTTTTAGGTCTCAGACTGGGTTTCTTTGATCAAGAACCCACCGAGATCTGATTTTATGGGCGTTCGTTTTATAAGCATCTATGTGTTTTTTGACTCACGCACTGACTGACTAACCATCAACCCTGTGGGTCCCCAGACTAAGAGAGTGTGAGGGGGCAGGAGTGAGCAAGCAGCTCTCCTTTGGGGCAGATGCAAAGCAATCTGGAATATTCTGCCCCCGCCCCCAGCAGGAGGGTGTCCAGCAGCCTGTTAGGCAGCGGGAAATCCCTGAGGAGGACACAGTGACTGATCTCTGCGTTGGTTTTCGCATCTCTCTGGTAGAGATGCTTAAGGGCAATTTATTCCTTCTTCCTGACTTGGAATGTTCTGCCTGCCCCATGCTGGATATGCTGGATCTTTGTAATTCTAGGGTGGGGTGGGAAATACGAGGTTGGGCCAGTAGGGGTGAGTGGGACATGACATGGGGCTTCACGGTATGGAAATAATGCCTGGATCCTTTGGTGCTAATGAGCAGATGTGGTAGGGCACGACATACCAAGAGCTTGAAAGAGACGATGGGAAAGGACATCCCAAGACTCCAGGTTATGGTAGCCAGCCCATTCACCCTATTCCTTCACTCTGCTCCCTGTCATCTGGGGTACCTGCTCACAGTGTTGAGTTGAGAGTAGGCTTAAGTTGCAAGAATACTGCTGAGCTATGTTGCAAGAGCATGTTTTGCTAGGAGGGGTATGTCTTGTCCAAAGCCCCAACCCTGGAGGTGGGGCTCGGGCGCCATGTTGCCTGGTTCCCATATGGTGCCTATGCCGTGCAAGGGTTAGAAAAAGTAAACCTCCCCAAGTGACAGTCAGTGGGCTGGTTCTTTGTCTCCTTTTATAGAACCCCAAGGGCCATAGCCGTGGAAGGGGGGAACAGCCCTAGATGACAACTAAGCTCACAAAAGTGTCGCAGAGCAGAGGAGCAGCCAGCCGAGGCCTCATTCCTTTTGAATGCATCTCCCTTGGCTCAAGCATTGTTGTTCATTGTGTCTGGGATTTCAAGCAGGGGGCCAAGCCTCAGCTTAGAGGTCTCTGTGATGCAAACCCAATCCTGTTTCTAATCCACTCTAATAAACCTCACTCGAAAGGAATAAGCCCAAGGAAGTCAGCAGTGTTGACACCTGGCCTTGGCACTTACTGTCACTGGGAAAGAAAGATGCTGAAGAGACAATGTGGAGAACATCCCTGGACACTGCCCAATGCAAACGCCGTTTACCTCAATTCTCCTCCAGCAGCAAAGGAAGAAGTTTTTTTTCCTCCTCCCCCTCCAAATGTCACTGTAAAACCCAAACCTTGGTTAATTTGCCATTCGATTGCTGTTGCCACCTCTCTGTACACGGCAGCTGCAATCGTAAATCTTCCAGGTCTATTAACAAAGCTTTTAGGCTCATAAATCTTTTGGCCCTTGCTCCTCCATCCTCAAAACACTCTGTGTGTCTGAAGGCTGATTTTTTACCTCTAATTCCCCAAAGGCTGAGTCTAGGATGGCCTGGTTGGTGACAAGTGCTTGTATTCTGCCCACGCTTGATTTTTCAGGTTGAAAATGGGAAAACACCAGGGAGAAGACTGTCTTGATAGCTTCCCCAAGAAGGAGGTGTCACCAAGTGAATTCACTGGAACTCTGCCAGGAGGCAGGGAGGAGCAGGGAGGAGGCCCCCCTGCTGCAGTGTCCTGGGCCCCTGGACCACTTGCTTGGGGACCTGGCAGCCCTGAGATTTTCCCATCATGCCCCAGCAGGGCTGCCCCTTACTCTGCCTGGCTGTTAGCCTCAGCAGCGGACAGCACCAGCGCCAGCCATGCTCACTTCTCTGGGTGATTTTTCCCCCTCTTGGATGGATTTGCAATTTGATTGTCACCATGGAAACTCAAGAGTTTTGGTACATGAAGGTGGGGGGAAGTCTTCCCTTTTGGAAAGTCTTTTCCAACTGCTGCAAAGAACATGTGTGGCAGTTGCTGACTTGTGGAGAAACCTTGCCTGCAATGGTCCGGGGGACAGACAGGATGTTGGCTACTTGACCTCACAGCCCTGCACTAGGATTTAAGGGAACTGTTTCCTGGCTCTGATCTGCCACCCTCTCTCTTTGTGACCCTGGGGGCACCTCTCAGGGCTTCACCACACACAAAAACAGACCAACCTAGACAGCCTAGATACTCTGGGTCTTGAATCCTAGGATTCAACTTCTGGTCAGCTTTGTCCCCTCAGTGGAGAGATCCCAGTGCCCCTCCCTGGCTGAGAGGTGGGGGGATGTGATTTCTGGGCCACACGACATCCGCCTGCCTGGCACAAGGACAACCAGCAGTCTGTGAGCTTGGGAGGCCCTTGTGAGTTGCTGCTGCTCTGCTTGGAGGCTCCCAAAGCCCCCAGAAATTATGGGAATTAGAGAGGAAGAGATATTTTCAGCAAACATTCTGCCAAGGCAAAGCAGATGGTGGAAAATTTTGCACACTAAAAACAAAAAAAAAAAACCCAACTTTTATTGTAAAGGAAAGATAAGGCCCCGGGGAATGCAGAGACATCCCCAATTAGCCTTACCCAGCCCACCAGGCTGGCGCAGCTGCAGAGAAGAGTCAAAAAGATGTCCCCACGGGGACAGGTGATGGCTGTGCCGCCCACAAGTGGGGCCAGGCTCGCAGCCCGAAATCCCACCAAGATGCCTCCTACGTCTGGGGCTCTGTTTGGCGGCAGCAGGAGGGAGGTGTGGGGGTGGTGAAGAGGCACTGGCTCTGAGTCAGAAAGACAGTGTCCTGGCTCTGCCACTTGCCAGCGGTGTGACTTTGGGCCAGTTCCTCCACCTCTCTCTGCTTGGCAGGTTCACCTATGAAAGGGGCAGTGATGGATCCTTCCCTGAGTTTGTGAGCATTAGCAGAAATAACACAGGCGGTGTCTGGCACATGGCAGATGCTTGATAAATGAACCATTTTATTTGGGGGGCATTCTGAACTCATGGCCCACACCACCTGGCATGGAGATGGCCTCTGAACTCAGCATGTTTGATGCCCAGGTCAACCTCAGAGGGTGGACGCACCTCTCCTAGGGGAACTCAGATTTCCAAGTTGTGCTTCATGAGACATTGAAGGCATTGGTACCTTCAGAGTCTGTTTGGAGGCTGAGCTGGATTGGAACCCAGGACTATCTGTGGCTG